GAGAGTGGGAAGGGTCCGGATCTCTGCAGGGAGATCATTCCACAGGGCCGGGGCAGCTACAGAAAAAGACCTCCCCCGAGTACTCGCCAACCGGCATTGCCCGGTCGACGGTACCCGGAGGAGGCCCAATCTGTGTGATTTTATAGGTCGTTGGGAGGTATGTGGCAGGAGGCGGTCCCGAAGCGTTCTTAGATTATAGCAACCGAAAGGAAAACAAAATTACTCTTATATTGTGTCTGAGTTTTGAAGCTCTGCAAAAGTCATTTTATGTTATCGGAGCAGAAACTATGAGGCCTCTCCTACCAATCTATAACATTCTTCCCCCTAGACACAATGGAACTTTAAACATTTTTTTTAATGCGGGAGGAATGGAGAGGAGGCAGGTGGGAGAGGAACAGAGGAAATAAAAAAGAGATGAAAAGGATAAAGGACATGTAGTCCTTGACTTACAACAGTTAATGTAATGACCATTCAGAGTTACAAAGGCACTAAAAAAAGTCACCTAAGGCCATTTTTCATACTTATGACCAGCATGATCAGGTGATCAAAATTCAGACACTTGGCAACTGGCTCATATTTATGACAATCGTAGTATTCTGGGGCCAGAAGATGATTTTCTGACAAGCAAAGTCACTGGGGAAGCCAGATTCACTTAACGACGTTACTAACTTAAGAACTGCGGTGATTTGATTTAGAACAGTGGCAAGAAAGGTCGTAAAATAATGCAAAATTCACTCAACAGCTGTCTTGCTTAGCAACAGAAGTTCTGGGCTCAATTGGGGCCGTACGTTGTACATGAATTTAAAAGCGAAGTAATACCGATAAGGCCGTAAATTTGTGACCTAATAATTTATATAATTTTATTCTATTGTGTTTTAAACGGGATTATTTTAAGGTAGTGTCCCCCGACTAAAGCAAGCAAGCAAAATATGGAATATGAACTGACCATTTCAGAGTCTACAGCAAAGACTATTTGCTTTGCTCGGTTTGAAGACATTTCACAGACCACAGAGAATTCTCTCTCCAAGCAATGATAAGTTTCTTTTAAATCTTCCAGTTCCTGCTGTGCAGGAACACCTCTGGATTGTAATTCCAGAAAGCCTTCTGCCAACTTCATATCTTTTCGCAAGGTGACAGCAAACCCCGCCAGTCCTGATTCAAATGCCTACAAGTATAAAAAATAAAAGTACAAAACATTAACATGAAATGAGAATAAAAATAGATGAATTCTACTCTTCATTCTACTAAGCCGAATGAATCATATTCTATCAGGGATAAAACAGATTTGTATTGCCTATCAGAAAAAAAAAAGGAATAATTGACTTGTGTAATATTACCACTACTCCTACTAAAACTTGTAACTTTATCTTTTTTCTGCATAATATTTTTATTTCCATTTCATTCTATACAATCACATGTTTACTGTGCATAACCGGGGCATATAACATTGAGTAATAAACACAGCCCTCACTTATATAGAAAGTGCCCCCTACAATACAAACCCAATATACCACCTCGGCCCACCATACACCCTCTTTCAACCCCCTCCAACTTTCATTCTTCCTTCTCTCATACCCCTCTACACCTACTTCCCCTCCCCCTCTATCTAACCCTAACCCTATCACTCCCTCTCTTAATCCATCCCCTCCCTTCCTTCTCCTCCTCCTCTCTCTCACCCTCTCCACCCTCCTTCTTCTTTCACTCAGCTCCTCCCTTCGGTATACTTCTATTACCTTCCAATATATTCGGTTTGTTCTGTTTTGACACTAACATTAAAAAGCCACAGTATACAGGTGCAATCATGTACTTTAGAATTTAACACTTATTATATTTCCCCCCTCCCCCCCTCCCCCTAGATCCCCACCTCTCTTCCCTCCCCCCCCCGACTTCCCAGAGCCCGTACACGGTATAACTTTTTGACAATCACAGTCTAAAATATCTCTACATTGAACTCAGCTTCTTACTGTTAAAACTTGTAACTTTACACATTGATGTTTCTTAACATGAAAATGATACAATGCATAAACACAGAATTCAAATAGGGGAGATCTGGACTGAATCCTATTTCAGTCATATAAGCTTGTAAGCCATGTACATTTGTGAAATAAACAAACATTTCTATACTAATCAATAATTTACCTCTAATTGCTCAAGTTGTATTTTTAGAGCTTCCAAGTCATTACTGATGGGCTGCAGATCATCTAAGAGAAATTTCATATCTTGGACTATTATCAAGTGCCTTCTCAAGTTCTCTGTGTAGCAAGAACAGGGCTGCAGAGCACTGGGTAACTGGAAACATTATTG